TCGGCTCAGGTCATGATCCTGGAGTCCCGGGATCGAGTCCCGCATCGGGCTCCCTGCTCGGCGGGGAGCCTGCTTCTCCCTCTAATCCTCCCCCCTCTCATGTACTTTCTCGCTCTTTCAAATAAATAAATCTTTAAAAAAAAAAGTATTCAGTCATAGATATTTGACTATAATTGTTTTGCCTTTTATTTAGTCCCAGATGATAACTTTAGGGATTTAGGTATTTTGTTCCTCATACTAGCATATAGATTTTTGTTTGACACTAAACAAAACTGAGATTTCAAGTATTTTCTGTGTATCCACCTCAGATATGATCCAGATATGTGAAAATCCTGATAATTTAGCGCACCATCTCAGGCCATTTTTTTTTTCAATTTCATGTATTTATTTGACAGAGAGAGATACAGCGAGAGAGGGAACACAAGCAGGGGGAGTGGGAGAGGGAGAGGCAGGCTTCCTGCGGAGCAGGGAGCCTGATGTGGGGCTCCATCCCAGGACCCTGGGATCATGACCCGAACCGAAGGCAGACGCTTAACGACTGAGCCACCCAGGTGCCCTTCAGGTCTTGTTTCTTATAGAAAAGTCTCTCATATCAAGATGAGAAAGACCTGTCATTCAGTAAGTTGATTCATTGAATATGAATCCACATTTTGTATTATCTGGGACCCAATACAGTCTCCAAAGATTTGTAGTTTAAGAACAAGGGCTGTAGAGATAGCAAAATCCTTTGACACCAGTGATTTCTAGCCACTTTCATTGTATTGTTTTATTTCTCCCCTAAGACAACACTAAATAAACCAATAAGTCAGTAAATCAATAGGTACTTAGAGGCTTTTCTGTGTCATGTGTATGTGATCCAAGCTGAGTGCTACTGTAAATAAAATAGCCCCATTAAAATGATTTAAATTCTAAAAAGAAAACTACCACTTTAAAGAATTCTTACTGCAGAAATTATGACTTAAATGTAAAATATTAGCAATGACCATATTGTAATTGTCACTGAAACTACAGAATTTATCTTTAAATCTCTTATGGAAGCTATTTCTCCTGTTTTTCTACTAGGCATGATGAAACCATTAAATTAAGAAGATATTAGGAAAATATTAGATGAGGAAGAAACTTTTGAGGTTATTTAGTTCATTCTTTTATGCAGTAATTTTACCTATAGGATTCCTGACAGGCCTAAACCCCAGGGGGTGGGGGGGACTTCGCCTGGGGACCATTCCTTGCTGTGCTCCCAGAGATTCACTTTGCTTTGCTTACCTTTTTCAAAACTACTGCCTCCTCTATTTTGAGGGTTCCTTTCATTTACCCCAAACTGCCTGTGAAGGATGATGCATTTTATTCAACTATTAACTTGCTTATTGTCCCTAAAATGAGAGCATAGCATGTCTAACTTTTTAAAGGTTCTACTGATAATTAGAGCAAGAAAAACAAATGAGGGAGTAACGAATAGTTAACAGAGCAATGTTAGAAATTTTCCAAAGTCTGGGGCACCTGGGTGGCTCAGTCATTTGAGCATCCGATTCTTGATTTCGGCTCAGGTCATGATCTCAGGGTCCTGAGATGGAGCCTGCGTCAGGCTCTGTGCTCAGTGGGGAGTCTGCTTGGGATTCTCTCTCTTCTCCCTCTCTCCCCCTCTGCCTCTGCCTCTCACCCCCACGTTCTCGCTCTCTCTCTCTCTAATATAAATAAATAAATCTTTTAAAAAAAAGAAATTTTCTAAAGTCTTATATAGTTCTCATAGTCCTTGCCCTTTTATCCCTAAGGATAAATTTAATAAAACTTTGAACTTTGCTCATTCATTTCTCCTCACATCTTGTCCCCTCATTGCCTAATCCCACAACACATACAGTTCTTCTAAAGGGAAGCACAAATTGATAAAAACAAAGGAAAATGGATAATAAACATTGGTGTTATAGGTTTTTGCTACTACTGGAGCTTATGATCACAATTAAGTCCATGTGGTAATGTAATCCCATCTAAAACCAGGTTGACTGGTTTAGAAAGCTGACCAGCTGTTATTTCATGTCAAGTCAAAATACAGATTATCTGACTTCATAACACAAATGAGGCCACTTTAGAGACTGCATATTAGGGAAGGGTCGGGGTGGGGGTCCTTGGAGAATGACATTTCTCATCCAATGGAACCAGCAAATTAAACATCTCAGAATGAAGTGTGGTTCTTAGTTCACATGCAATGATGTCTGCCATACAGATGCAAATGATTCCTGGGTTTTGAGGAGAGCACTAAAGAATTTTCATGACTCTTGTGAAAGAAGATCAATGATCTCTTTGTGCCCAGCTGCTGTTATAGTTACTGTCACAATTGACTTTACAGAGCTTTCCACTATCAGGTCAAATTAGGACTAGCCTTCATGATGCAATCTAACACTTTTAATGATTGCTCCAGGTTATGGTAGGGAAATATGACCCTGTGGTCCCTGCCACTTCTTATTTGCAGCT